GTTGGCTATGAAAGCCTCCCTTATTAGGATCAGTGGGGGGAAAAAAAACACAATAAATAATCCGTGAGTGAACTGAAACAAACGCCGGGGAGAGAATGCAAGTTCCACGACAAAAGATGTCACAGTCGGCCTCAGGAAAAAAAAATTCAAGACGCTGCGAGAAGAGAGCGAGGTAACGATGACCGATGAGGAGCAGGGCTGCACTGGGGTTGTTTGTGTGGATGTGTGCTGCGCGCATGGGGGGGAAATAACAGTATTTGAATGATGGGTGTGACAGAGGCTGATGTCTGCTCAGGGCCTGTGTGGCTCCAGTAATAAAGATACTGCGGCTCAAAGTGGTTTCATTCTGCCTTAAATGCTCCTTAATCTCTCCATAAATGACATCCTTGGCCCCCAGTAAGGAGAGTGAAAAATTCAAAGCGTTGGTGTCAGTGCTACTGGGACTTTATGGCCACGTCAATAGAAGGAAGGAAAAAAAAAAAAAAGGAGCTTAAATGTCACGTGTGTTCGATTTTTTTCTCATAATAAAACGTTCAGATATGATAGACTGCGTGCATTTACTTTGAGGAAATTACAACAGCAGCCCTTCAGCGCTTAAGAGGCTGAGAGAAAACTGACATCACTGCTAAACGCTGTCTGCCGAACAGGAACACCCCATTTCCTGGTGATGTTTCCCCGCTCGTCAGCGACACTTTTCACAAGTCACTTTAACAAGATTGTCGATACGTCGTGTGTTCTCCGCTCACCAACCCCTGACCTTTCTTAAATCAATGCTTTCCTATAAGGAGAGCAATTTGCGGAGCTCACAGAAGGGCAGAAATTGTTCTCCGCCTCCCTGCTGGCTCTCACCTTTTTCAAGCCACTAGCACGCACTTGTACGTTTCTGCATGCATGCATGTGTGCGAAATGACATTGATTTTGATGAAAGCGCGCGGTTATGTGTCAGTGTGACGACGCGGAGAGCTCATTATTTGCAGTCTTTCTGGCTGCTCGCCCAGATAAGGACCATAAAGAATCAACCCCGGGATAATGAACCTGGATGACACACCTGCAGCTGGAGGAGCAACTCCAAGGACGCCTCGCGACCTCCTCGGCTCCCACATCTCATTACGAACCGCGAACGGTTAAAGCTCGTGATTACAGACGAGCGTCGGGACAGAACAGAGGAGGGGATTTATATGATGGAGCCGGTTTCGACTGACGGCGACGCAGCGGCGGCGGTGCCGGAAGGTCAAGAGGGTGCTTATCAAAACATTGTCGGAAGCTGGTTCACGCCGAGTCGCTGCTCCTCGAGGCCTGGAGTTGTTAACCTGCGCTGTGATATTCTCCTCGTCTTGAATTTTAATACTTAGACGAAGCTCGGTTCGCAGAAAACACACTTTAAGCTGTTTAGTAAAGGCAGTAATTAGGACAAATCATGCGCGTGCGGTGATTCTGAGATAATAAACACGATATTAGTCGGAATATTAATGCGGTTCTTTATTAATCCCTGCAGGAGAACTCTTTGTCTTGCTGCTGTTCACATTGTAGATGAGATCACAGCAGTCAAAGCCCCTCAGCTCGCGGGTTCCCCTTTATTCCGCTAACAAGCATCCATCTTCACAGAATTTATCACGCTATTCGCTTTATTACGCCGCAATAAAAGATTTAATGAAAAATATCTCAACACTCCAAAGCAAATCGCTCTCTCTCTGTTATCCACGCGCATGCAAATCACGTGGCCGCCCAGCTGCTTCGACATTTCAACCTCCCGGTGCAAGCTGGTGCAAGATCAGCTTTCTTTTACATACGGGAGAGAAAAAAAACACCCAAATGAGCATCTGAAAGCAACCTGCTTGCTTCTCGCGTGCCTTCTGAGGTGCTGTGGGCGTCAGCGTTTTCACTCTCCGTATGATCACAAACCATTTCCAGAAATACAAAAAGCCCCAGTGCACATGTTTGACTGCACCGCTGTGTGTATCGACTCTGACCTGTGCACCTGTTCCAGTCCATTCAGGACAGCGTAGATCAATAATTTCCAACCAGGGAGTATTTTTGGCGCTTTGGCTCTGGCTTGGTGGTAATGTGGAAAAATTATGAATTAGCTTCTGCAGTTTTGCGAATAAAAAAAATGTACCTGCAAGTTTAGTTAGCGTCTAACAGTCGACAAGTCTAAACAGTTAAAACATGATGAATCCACTATTTAAAGTAACACAGGGGTCCTATTCCCACCACTTAATCAATGCAGAGTTTGTAAGAATAAAGTTCAACTTCATCAGTTTAGATAAAGCTTTTAAGACATTGTTTTGATGGCTTTGATTGATGTAATAATAGTTAATTATTGTTAATTATTGCATCAACTCAATTGTGAGCAATTTAAACTCAAATTTGTCCTTTTCAAGATGAAGATACTGCACACACACAAAGAAAGTTAACTACACAAAATTTTGCAATGAAAAGCCCAAAACTACTGAAGAATATCTAATTGGAGCAACTTAATTTCGAAGCTCGAAAATTTGTGTTTATAATAACAGTAGTTAAGTTGTGACACTTAAAATTCCGCTTGAATTCAATAGAAATGCTCATTTCAACAACTTGCTTTTTACTTAATTTGAGTAATTAAATTCAAATGAATATACCTCTGATGGTAGAGGATGGTCTAATTCCCTTCACTGATTATAACTTGTCGGCTGAACACAGTTTCATTAGAAATGGTCATAATTTAAAAAGATCAATTAAAAAAAATGCACACAGTTCAAATGGAGTTATGGGTACATGGTTGAAATAAAAATCTGAATGTCAGCATTAAATGGTTGAAACAGTAAAAACAGTGGAAAAATCCTCAAAATGAAGTATAAAGATTTTTTTTTTTAATTGGTAAAAATAATTGAGAAATGATGGAATGTTCCATTAAAGTGATGGATGGACAGTCAGTGAAAAAAGAGTGATGAATATTGGTTGAAGTGTCTGATCTTGTCCACTCGCTTTTCATTGTTCTGCAGTTTTGATCTCACTTTTACTCGTTTTCTATTATACTTATTATGACAGACTTCTTTTCCAGTCTATCTATTCTCTTCATATAGTTGTCCTCACAAGATAAACTTAGATAGTAAATAATTGTCTGGGGTTTAGTTCTCATATATAAGCTAAACTTGTCGGGTAAATTGACCACGCCACTCTTATCTCTCGACTGGAAAACACTTGTGCTATATAAAAAAATGTGCTATATAAGTAACGGTGGCTTGATTTGGCTAAATACTGTCGATGGAAGGGCGCTGAGTTCATCTGACAGATCTGTAGGGGAGTCAGGAGCCAGTGGCACAGACGAACTGTGGACTATTTTGTGTTTCCCAAAATCAGCATGCAGCTCATATTTGTTTCCAGTATTGATAAGAGCTGAATTTGTCAGCACAGTTAAGGAGACAGAAAGAGGTTGTCGGTATTGAGTGCAGAAGAAATGGGTAATTAGCTGACGGCTGACTCAGGCCACTCGCAGCTTTGTGTGTCAGGGTGGGAATGGAAAAACCGATGAAGCACATCTCCGCGGGTGTCATAAAGCTTTGCTTTATGGCCAGTTTGTGTAGCCTTGCAGATTAAGTTCAAAGAAAGGCGGCAGCTCTTTTCTCCATGCATCTTAAATCCTGTTTCTCCTCATATGGATCTGTAGATCAATTCTTTGGGCTGTGCTGAGATATCCCTGGTGTCAGCAGCTACAGGCCGGCCACAGGACGGATGGGGAGGACTGGGCGTCTAAAAATACATTATTAAAGGGACAATTTCACCTCAGATTTAATAGTTCTCACAGAACAGCATGACCGTTCCACTCAAATTGCACACTTTCTTTCACCGCGGAGAAGCTTTCTTAAGAGGCATAACCATTAAAGCGCACAGCAGACTACAATTGCAGCCTCCATAGGAAGGTGCAGTGTTTGCATTTAAAAGGCCAGAAAATCGCAGTCAATCAGTGGTTTGTCTACGGTGCACGCAATGAGTTCTTCCTCAGAAACTACTTCCAGCATTTATCTCAAGAGAGCAGCTCTACATGGAAATAAATGGGCTGGTGTCTGGAGATGGCACGCTTCCGTTCTCTGTTTAGACACAAAGACCAATTTCAAATGGCAGAGAACCTGCAGCTGTCTAATCTCTGACTGTACTTCAATGCAGACGGCGCTGAATGATCCTGGTAATATTCTTATTAGGTTCAAAGTTAAAATGAAACACAGCGCGCGCATTATAGGCTCTCTTGAGTCAAAAACACATCTGTAGCTACAAACGCATCAGCAGGATTGAAACTTGGCTGAAAGACAAACCGAATACAGAGGGATTACAAGATAAAAGACGGCGAATTTGCAGCATTCTCTGTTTTCAGCCCTAAAACTCCGGCACTTATCCACTTTCCTCTCAGGATTAAAGAAGAAGAAGAAGAAAAAAAAAAGAACCCAACATCAAACAAATTTGGTTGCAAGAAGATTTCAGCAGTGTGGTCGATGTGCATTACTTACATATGAATAATTTATTTTAAAAACTCTAAAAAATATAAACAGTATAGTCACACTGACAAAAATGTCTAAACACATCCAGTACATAACGTTTGCACGCTCGCATTAAAACACTTGATCGCTATTTAAGTATTTACAGTGAAAGAAACAACAAATATTTCTCATATTTCTGACATCCTGAAAACAGAGCTGCTGTGCACTGCGGAAGATTTCACCGGCGAAAGATTTTCTACCCACGATATGTGACATTTTAATCCTTTTCCAAAATGCATTAGAGACACTTGGAAGGCAAGCCCTGTAATTTCTTTTCCTTATCTTTTCTCTTCCCCCTCCTCCCCCCGCCTTTTCTTTAAACAAATAAATCCTTTCCTGTTTGTGTCACCGTCAGGAACCTGGACTCTGTCTTTTTTTTGCCATTTAAGCTCCATAAATACTGAAATTATGAGCAAATTAACAGGTAAGAAAACAACAATAGTAACTTAATCGCATTGGAGTTCAGTTAATTGCTGCACACGTCAGTGAGAGCGTTCAACACATATACGGACTTTATTTTTGCATCATTTTTCAGCATCACACACGCTTGAAATTTGGCACTTTTAATATCTTTAACAAAACCGTAAAAAGTGAAAATACAAGTGATATTAAATTTACTATAGGCGTTGTTCAAAAATAAGATAAATTACATTCATTTTATCAGCATCTTGACAGACTTGAGACTTCATATATATATAATAAATAAATAAATAGATACCAGAAACCTTTCCTAACATCTACCACGTGGCCGGCTGGAATGTCCTGTGTTCCACTAAGCTGTGCGACAGGTTCCGTAGCTCGGCTGCAGAGTGAACCTGCTTGTATCCCAGCAGAGCCAGAGTGTCATTGCACAGATTCTGAACCGTTCTCACGATGTCAAAACCGAGACGGAGCCTCCAGCCCTCCGCCGTGGCTCTGGAGTCTCTGGTGGTGGAGTATCTGTAGTTCCACTCAGACGGAGACGACGCGTTGCTGTTGGTGTTCTTGGCGATCCACGTCCTCACCCTGTCCTCCACCTCCAGCCCCACGAACCTGTACATCTCAGCGGCCTTGTCCTTCGGGTTGAACGCCAAGTCCTCGTATCGCACCAGCAGGTAGCGTCCACGCAGCCACGCCGGCCTCTGCAGGCCCGTCTCCGCCGAAGCCGCCATGTCCTTGCAGGTGCTGGTGATCTGCGTCAGGTCCACGTATCGAGGCTGCCGCCCCGTCGCGTTCCATATTTTCCACGCGCGAAACTGGTCGGAAAACGCCATCATGCGCGAGGCGAGGATGGCTCTGGGGTCTCTCACCAGGTGGATGATCTTCAGGTCCAGACGTGGATCTTCGGTCAGAGTGCGCAGGTCCCCCACCTCGGGAATCCGCACTGTCTTTATGGCTACGTGTCCTCGGGACAGACATGACATAGAGGCTAAGGTGAGGTTCAGCGCCCCGCACTTCTTAGGACACCAGCTCTCATCGGGTGGATCGGAGGCAGTCGCATCCACCCCTTCCGAGCACACGGGAGGGGAACAGAGGGCATGGCTGGAGCTCCGGCGGAAGAAGGAGCTGGTGACGTGGTCCTGCGGCTCAGGCCGGATGTAGTTCTCCATGAAGTGAAGGTCGCAGGTGTACAGGTTGAGGAGGAGGTCCCTGTACGCTCCCAGCAGCGCCCGGCGGTCCAGGGTGCGACGCAGCCTGCTGCTGGAGTTGGTGAAGGCCTGCTGGACGTGGTAGAGAGGCTCGAACACGTAGAAGATCCCTGGATGCTGGTTGAGGAGCTGCCCGGTGAAGGAGGAGCCGCTGCGAGTGGTGGCAAACAGCAGGATGTGCTTCCGAGGCGACTCAATGGGCACCCAGCTGTCATCGCACAAGGCTCTCCACTTGGAGTCTTGAGGGAAGAAAAACAAAAGAGCTTTCAGCTGTTCTGTCTGATTCACATTATGTGACACTGACTCACTTTCATAAAGTTTTCTTCTTGCAATCAGCAGAGCAGCTTTACATGACTCATTACGTAACATGTTATTACCCATTTAGTTGTTTCAAGCTTCCGAATGAGGGAAGAGTTATTTCTGAACAATGATTTCAGCTCATAAAAGCGAAGTTTTTCGTCATATCTTTAGTCCAGAATTTCTACTGAATCAAGCCAATAAAGTGTAAATAATTTAGAGGGTAAACATGCTTGAGTAAGTTGCTTGTCTGCGAGTGGTTACCGAGGGGGTTTATGAAATGGCGGATCTCTAAATATAGCTCAAATAGCTAACATGTAATTACTGCTGATGAGGAGTTGATTGCAAAGGGGGATGTTACTTTTGTACACAGGAGCTCGTCGGTGGCGAAGCTACATCTGCGCTGTGAGAGAGGATTAATGGAGATAAATTGGAGGATAATTGTAAAAACGAATCACACATTTCATTTCTCCATCCTCTCCGCTTGTGGGGAATTCCCTCGTTTAATGATTTGCTTTTTCTTTTGTGTCAGTAACAGCAGTGGGGCTGCAGCCTGATTTCTTGGGAGACTTTTATTCAAAAAAAAAAAAAAAAGAGCTATTATGTGAATTAAATTGCCAATCAAGCGTTGGATCTTTATATGTTTGCTGGTGCAGTTCAATCAAAGTCTGTAACAGTATACAGCATGCGTTCTGAGTTATTTATGCTGTTTTTGCATTATATATGAGCAAATACCTGCACACACACACACAGGCACACACACACACACACACACACCCACACACACACACACACACACACACACACACACACCAGCCACTGACAGATTTAATACGCTATGAGGGGGGACAATCTGAATTAGCCATCATGTGGTACCTCTGTGGTATCTGCTTTGGCAGCGGTAGGCTCCCTGACAGGGTCCAGACATGGAGTCCCTCAGGGTCCGGATGGCCGTGTACTGGACCCCCAGAGACGCACACACCAGCAGCAGCACCGTCTTCCAGGAGCACTCCATCCTGCCCCCACCTCTGGCTCTACATCCTTCACGCTGGCGCCACCGGGAGAGGAGGGGAAATGCACAGAGAGACAAACACGCAATGAGATTTGATTTTGATTTTATTATTTTTTTTCTTTCTCCAGCTTTACGCATGTGCAGCTTCCACACATGCAACGCCTGCAGGTTTCCAGTGATGGCCTTCTGAGCAGCTCTCGCTAGAGAAGTTGAGAATCTTGCCCAAGGGCGCTTCCGCAGTTGAAGGTATAGTGCATGTCATTAACATTTTCAGATTTCCCCTGCCAGTTGAGTATGGGGACCTTTGCCCCGTGCAACAGCAGTTTCCGTGAGTAAAGCACCAGTTTGACATTTGTGGAAATGCACTGCACAGTCAATATAAACCAGCGGCTGATTGGCTTAGTTTGGCATAGACTAGATATATCCTGAAGGGAAGAAAAAAAAACCCCACTTGAATCTGCTCATTAAAGAATATTTACTGAAATGTCAAACTATTTCTAAAATGCACATTCACAGTGTTTCTTAAAAATAAAAAAAAGCCCCAAATGTTCTGTCTTCACAAGGAAAGAAAACAGACGGCACCTTTGAGGATTTCTACAATAAGTAGCTTAAACGCTTTGAATAAACAGTTTAAAGGTTTGGGATTTGTTTCCTTAAGGATCCGCAGATTTGTTATGCAGAAAAACACGACTCAAAGGTCAAATCTTCAGTGAGAAATGGTAGAAGTAAAGTCCCCCATCTACAATAGCTCCAGTATTCGGGATACTGCGCAGCACACTGTTGCATAATTGCATTTCATTTTTTTTTTCTTTTTGCCTTCCTCTCTTCTGGGTAATTAAGCCTCTAAGCCCAGTAGAGAGCTACATACCCAGATAAATATAGCTGTCTTCACACAGATGAGCGCAGAAGTTTCCTTTGTACACTTCCGAGTTCTCTGCCAGTGGGCATGAAAGAGCAAAGGGAGATGTGATTTTCCAAATGGATTTAGAAAAAAAAAAAAAAAAAAAAGGTGCTGCCATCCATTTGTCCGTATACACCAAACGGATGGCGGGTAATCACACGAGATCCCTGGGTGCAAAATGTCTCCCCATCACTCAAAGTGGCTGCACGGAGGCAATCATTACCAAACCCCAGGTAAATATACTGTACGTCATATTACTGACAAAAATAAATACATCCTTCCTGCTTGCTTGCTTCCTCGCCCCGCGTCTGTCACTCCGTCGCTCTCCATTCTGCGTCTCGTTCATTAATGATGTTTATGTGTCCCTGGCAGACTCATATCCTCAGGAATGTATCACACTGAGCTTTTGATGTTCCATTAATCACAAACAGCGCCAAACCAAAGACATTTACTCTGTGGGTGAGGGTGGATGAGGGGGGTGGTGGAGAGAAAAAAAATAAAAAATCAAGCTGACATCATGAGCCATTCTGTTTGAATACGGCTAAAAACAGCGAACGCAGAATGAACTCATCAGGGAGGCAAAACTTTTTTTTCTTAGATTGGTTGTTGCAGACAGGATGACAGAAACAGGGACGCTGTACTGTTTGTCTCTTGTTTTCAGAGCAACTTTAAAGCTGTTTCTCCGTTTGTTGGATGGGAGGCACTGTGAAATATAACGACTGCACTAATGACTGCAGATAACGAGAAACTTTGACCGACCTTCTCACCATCACTGACACTTTAAAACCAAAAAAAAAAAAACCTCAACTGTCAATTTGGACATCCTGCCATCCATACCCCCACATGTACTCCACAGCTGGCTGACCAAAGCCACATCGTGTAATTCCTCAGTGACAGGTTTTTGTTTTCCTTTTCCAGGCGTGATCAGGGCTCAGCGCTCCTCTGCTACACACCCTGCTGCCCTCTGGAGAATGAAGACAGATGCTTCAATGGATTAAAGCAATTTGATTTGCAAGTCCTCCTTTCTCCCTGGCTTATGGCTCCTCCTGCGTCGGGACTCACACCAGGAATAATAGACACTCTGTCAACAGCTGGAAGGGGACTGCAGGCTTCAGATGGTCTCAGCTTTTGTATCCCTTACACAATAACAGTGCTTACAGGGGATAAAAGCCTCAGGGACAGGATCAGCCAAAGATTACTCTTGTAGAGCAAAACATTGAAATGCAGACGCACATGGATATGCTGCTCTGAGAGGAGGCAAAGATAGCAACCATTGATCACATACGAGGCCTTGATTATATCAAATTATTTCCTGTAGACCTTCATTACATCTCTGACTATGTCTGTGTGATCTCTTTCCTGTAAACAGTCGATCTGATGACACATGATGGTCATATGTGGACGCTGTGTTTCCGAGGTCGTGGATAAAATTGTAAAAAAAATATCCAATTAAGAGAGCCGAACCTACCAGAAGGGACGAGCTCTGGCGATTCTGGAAGCCCAGAAGGCGGTAAAATCTGATCTCACTGAATTGGTTAATAAGAGGAGGAGACTCCCTGAAGTCTCCGTTATAAAAGCACTGAAAGCTCAGGTTAGTTTGAGTTTGTTTGTGCTACTGTCTCAAAAGAGCACAATAAACTCTCTGTGTCTGATTACCTCCAGTGATGTTCATTGATTGGACCCTCTGATTCATCAAGCCTCTTCCATCTCCTCACATTTAAGAGTTTACACATCTTCTTACAATTAAGCGCCTGAGCGTAGCTTAGACTGAACTAATCATTGTCAACGTCCAACACGACATTCTATGTGGTTCATGTTCCACTGGCAGGCTTTCAGTTGTAAATTCAGCGAGCACAGACGCTGCTGCTGCTGCTGCTGCTGCTGCTGCTGCTGAGATAACATAGCTTGCAGCAAAAGTGTCGGCGCATGGCGCAAGGAAGGTAATTGCCTCTGTGGAAAATAAAGCCAACAAACGAGGTTAGGAGTTAGTGATGAAGGTGGGACTGAGGGATTTGGGATGCAAGTGATTGAGGGATGTGACAGTGCCAAAGATTTTTCTATTAAGGCACCTCGGCGTGTTCGGCAGATCCTCCGAGTGAGGGCTGTTTATTGGCAGAGCCCGGTGATCAATCCTGGAAAAACAGAGAGTTGAGCAACAGTAGCAGCACCGAGAGGAGTTTCAAAGCCTCCAGTTGGTCTTTCTGCCTCTGCTATATCCATTTCTCTCTCTCTCTCTCTCTCTCTCTGAACCAGCAGCAGCAGCAGCACACATATGCAGAGCCACAGGCAGAGAGCAGAGCAGAGCACTGCAGCGTTCAGAGGAGATGCATCTGACCCGGGGCTACACAGGAGGAAAAAAACAGATGAATCTTGTCCTACATGACTCCTCCAGCGCAAAAACACAAACACACGTACAGAAACGGCACTAAGAGGAAGAACACTGTAGGAAAAGGTAAATACTTCATCTGATCTCGTTCATCTTGACTGTAGCATTTCCCATACAGGATTGTGGTTCCTTTACAAATAAAGCAGGAAAGTTCAGGTGTTTAAGACAGAAAAACACAACTTAAAGTTTACTTATGACGAGATATAAGGATTGGGATTAATATGAGAGCACTTGCATCCACACAAGGCACTTTAGTGAGAGGATGTAACAGTTTAGGGAGAAAAAAACACAAACAAAATTAGCATGTGAACACATTGACAACACAGTGATGGGATGCTGTTATAAACTCCACCTCAAATTCAACCTTTCTTTGCTGCTAAGTGTAATTTTCTTGAGAATAAACAGATTTCCAGATGCATCCGATAATGTGAGACACTATAAACTCACCACTGAGTAGCTCAGACGCACTTTCTGGGCAAATTATTGGGTAACTTAGTGATTTTTCTGCTCATATTCTCATTATAATCTAGCGCTCAGTCGCGGATCTCTGCGCGTAAAAGGCACCAAAAAAAAAAAAAAAAAAGACGTTGCCTTACCATCAAAGCTTCTGATCAGACCCGATTCCCTCCAGCCGGTCCAGTCCTGCACGCTGCATTTGTAAAAGTGTGTGTGTGCGTGTGTGTGCGCGCTGCCCACCGGAGTGTCCAAAGTGGATTCAGAGCTGGAGATGCGCCATGGATGGAGAGCTGCGAGAGACAGGCAGAGAGCGAAAAGGCAAGTCTCGCCCCTCCAGAGAGCCACACAGGCTTACTGGAGCGGAGTCTCTAGATTGGATGGTCTTTGCCGTGCGTTACGCTTTGATGCCGTAGGGTACGTTTCATTACGTCTTGGAGAATGCATGCGATCTGCAACCTACATAGTGAGCTGAAAATGTGACAGCGCTTCCGTCGCCATCTGTAGTTCAAAGCGGTGTGCAGGTGCGAGGGGGATGAGATATTTCCCACATTTCATGAAGGCATCAGCTCCAACCAGGCATCAGCAATCACCTCAGCATCCCGGCAGAGTGTCACTCCTCCTCCTCTGTCACTTTCTCTCTGCAGGGATGCTCACTACACCCCTCAGATGGACACACAAACACACTTCTCCCCCTGGGATTACAGTGACACAATGACCTCTATTTTTCCTCATTCCAGTGCGGATGGCTGCTATCATCAGATGCTGCCGACCCCCCTGGTGTGGAGGGATGGGTACCATATCATCGCCCCTGGGGGGTTACCGCGGGGTCAGATTTAGCCAAGTGACAGCTCCATTACTCCTGGGAATGAGGGGCTGGATTCTGTTTGCCATCTTTCAGATTTATCTCCCACTGTGGCAGAGTCACGCTGGCTAAAGAGTGTCTTTACGGAGATTCACAGAGAGATGTGTGAAATAATTGTAGCTGTTTTCCAGCAGCAGCAGCAGCAGCAGCAGCAGCATCTCTCGCTTGTATCCTATCATGTCTGCCTTTGAATGAGCTGCCAAATCATCAGACGACTTAAACTTTCTATTAGTTGTTCCAACTTTCCTTCCCTCACCTAAGCTGTGTTTCAAACCTCGCAGGCAGTGCGAGCGAATACACCAAAGCAGAAATTATTTCAGAAAACTGGAACCGGAGGAGCTGAATATCAACCTACGCAGATACAGAACAAGCTTTTTCTGGTGCTACAGGGTTGAGACACATTTCCAGTCAAAGGTTTTTTGCCGCACAAAGGACGACAAGCTGCCAAGAACACCCTGTGAGTGATACAAGAGTGGCCTGTCTTCTGCTGCTCTATGCACAGATCCCTCCCTCTGCCTGCCTACAGCATTGATTCCCCGGCACCGAGCAGCCGAACGCCCCCACAGCTTCTCGGTGAGATTTGAAACAGGCAAATAAGAAAAAGTTGAGTTTCCTGCGAGCGAGAGCCGAATCCTCCACGGGCCTCTTCGTTTAGCTGTGCCCACACTTGTTCCTCACCACACGCACATGTGAAGAGCACAGAATCAGATATGCATGCGCTTACATTAAAGATTCAAAGTGGCTTTCATTTTTCTTTTGCAGAACTCTCGGGCTCTTAACAAATGCCTCACCAATCTGCACTCTGTCTTTTTTCGTATCTCTCTGATTTACCCCCCTATCTGATCTTTAACACGACTGAAGTATTTCATCATGAAGTGGATGGAAATGTTAAATCTCTCCACTCCTCAGCTCACTCACTGTTTTGCTATATCTGGGCTTGCTCGGCACCTTTCCGCTCCTCTTTTAAAGACGTGATCCGTCAGTCAGATTACCTGTCAGTCAGCTTGTGACAAGGAGGTCTCACAAAGTTTGCCTGTGGAGCAAAGCTTGTGTTTCCATACACTTCATCTCATTTGAGAGCGCGAAAGAAAAAAACAAAACAAAACAACAACAACAACAGCAGCGCCTTTATTCGGGCCTCCCTCGCTGTATGTGCAATAAGCAGGTAAAAAGAAATCTCATTTTTCCCACTAGAATGTCAGCAGAGACAGCTAAATTTAATTCAGCAAACAACCAACACACTCAACACCAGCAGGCTTCTCTCTGTTTCTCACTAGTTTTGCACTGGCTGCGCTTCTCAACAAGTTATTGTCACTTGTGCGGTAATAACACCGTGCAGATACACAATTATTTCATTTAAAGGTGAACTATAAGACCCTAATCCAATATGCTTTTACAAAAATTGAGTGAACATTTCCTCACGGCCCGCTGGTTGTCCGTTCTGTGTATATGCAGAAAAGAAATTCCAGTGTTTTTACTCAACCCCGGCCCTGTAAGTAGGAAACCAAGTGGCTCGAACTGAATCACACAACATTCATCTGCTCGTGCACAGCAGATTTAAAGCGGACCGCTAATTCGTTGAATATTCACAATCCTTCTACAGGATTGCAGAGTCAGTAAACAAAGAGTTTGACATGATTCAAAATAGGATGATTCACTTTCTTGCAGAGTGAGATTGTCATCATGATAAATAAACAGTCAGCAGCTGGTTATCTTACACAGCACTAACTAGTTATGGTACCAATGTGGAGAACAGGCTGGAAAAAGAAGCAAATGTGCCAGAAACTGCAGTTCCTCCAACGGCCACTTGGGGCTGGCTGCAAACGCCACTAAACCCCCATAGTCCTCCATGTTAAAATGCCCAACTTTACAGCAGATTTAAACATGTTTACAGCCCGGTGCCGTGGCTACGCTGAACATATGAGAACCGTTCACGGAGCGGACGAGCTGCAGAATGTATATTTTTAGCGACTACATTTTCCGAGCATGTGGGGTGTAGGGTTGTGGCAAAACAAGACCTTCACTTTAGAATTGTTCTGTCTTTGGTTTTTGGACCCAGCGCAGAATTGTGAAACTTTAAATTTGAGTAATATGGGTAAGGCGACATAGACTACAGTATAGGGATACGGTTACTTAGCAACCGTCAGCTGGTACGGGCAAATAAATGCCGAGAGGATGATGGAGACACGAGACATTTCAAGAAGTGGAAGCCCTGTTGGATACGAAAGCAGCAGCTTTGGTAAAAAGCTGCTGGACTTCTCTTTTAGAAGACCTCTCAACCAAGAGGCTTCTTCAGTTATAAATTAGAACCTAGAAGAGGAAGCACCTACGATTGTCGTGTCCTGGATGACTGAGAATCTACACAGATACACAAATTTCCTCTTACCATTAGGTTAATTTAAAAAAAAGAAAAAAAGAAGTGATTATTTATGACTCATTTCTGTGCAAAAGACACCTTATGTTAAAAAAACAAACAAATGGAAAACTGGTCTATTTGCAGCTTCACATTTGCATCATGGATCTCCACAGCAAACACTGACTTGTTGCCACTCACACTGATTATAATGGAAGTGGAGCGTTGCAGCATCTTCTCAGCGTACGGTTTGCATACTTTATGTGTGCAGTGTGACCACGAGTCTGTTCCAGGAACAGTTTTGGTCTCCATAACTCATGGTGGTGAATTTTTACTTAACTTTAAATTGAGGGTTTCTTTAGTTTTTAATTTAAGTAAGAGCAAATGTAAAACAGTGAATCATTTTTTTTAAATATTGCATACCCTCCAAAATGACTCTGAATATAATTTGGTGAGTCAACAAGAACTTTATGAGTGTTTTATTTTATCCTGTTCACAGAAAGTTGTGACTCAACCGGAGAAGAAAGTAAAGACAATGTTCTCATTAAATTTAATTGTGGTGGTGTCGACTGGTGACGTGAGTTCATTTTGCATGAATATTAATTAAAATTTACTGAGTAGGTTTTCAATGACTAATCATTTGCTCTTATTGGAATTTATATATAACATTAATTCCCTTTATTTTTAAATGTGCACGACAGTTTGCATTCCTGTCTTTTCATTTGTTTTTGAAATTACAGTCAATCCAATTGTGCCTCCACTTTGTTAAAACTACAGGAGAAAAGTAAAATGAAAAATGAATTTTCAATATATGTCAATCATTATACGCACTAGTCCCTCTGTTTTTAAAGATGTAGTAGCATGCTGCTGAGAACCGAACACTTTTTAATGTTTTTTATTACGAGGATGACAATTTTAATCTGTTCAAATCAAATCCACAACACAGAAAACTGTACAAAAAGTGAAAAATGTTTTTTGAATCGACTGGAGATTAAGTCAAAAGTTCAAACTGATCCAGCGGTAAATGGTGTCAGAGTAGTTTGCCATCATTTCCAAAAATGTCGAAATGAGTCCACTGGAGCTGCTGATTTTAAAAAATGTTCACAACTCCTCAGAAAATGATGAGCTTCAAGGCAACCTGGCAACAGCATTTTCCTCTTGAGCTTGACTACTCCAACACCTCTAAGGCAGTGTATTGTTACACTTTGAGGTATTTTAGCCCACCGGAGAGTTTTTGACTCATCCTGAGGCTTTAAAATCCGTAAAACATTTGGAGAACGTGGGCCTGATGGGGACAAACAGGCCATGTGAATGCAGGTTCTCTGTGAAGGAGCAGGTCAGCACTCACGCTGCTGTTCAAAAGTTTGGGGTCACGTTTTTTATGAAATCTTGTAGATTTATTCATTAGATGAGTTGAATAGGAAATCTAGTCGAGTAATTGAAAAGATTAGAAATAGGGATTTTTACATGTAGTAGTTTTGTCCTTCAGACTTTGCTGTTGTCAGAGAATCGTCCACAGCCGGATCCACTGCGTTAAAGGCAGAATAAAAGCTGAGTACTTTCTGAAAAAATAGTTTTTCCATGGGCTGCAAGGTGTCTCAGTGGCTAGCACCGTTGCCTCACAGCTGGAAGGTCGCCGGTTCGCGGCCTGGT